GATTGCTGCTTTCTGCACGGAGCAAGTGTTGGGTACCATAGGGTACGGGGGCAGGGGTGGGGCGGGCGACACCCGCAGCAGCAGGCGGCGTGGCGGTGGGGTCGTCTAGGGGGTGAGGGGAGGTTACCATGGGAGGGGGGGGGGATACCATGTGTGGGGCGGGGGGGGGTGGTGGCCCGGGACCCGAGAGCATACATGCACAGATCGTTCCCGGAACATCTGGCCAAGGTTGCGCTTGGTCTGTGCTCACTGCGGCGACTTAAGCTAGCGCTGTGAACTTGTTTTCCATGCTACGGCTTCCCAAGCCCCAACACCTGCTGCACTAATCTTGCCACTCCGAAGCTGTACTGAACAAGGGCGAAATATGACAGGCCAGGGATCAAACTGTTGGCGCGAGCTCTTGTTGTGCATTGTCAGTAATCTACAACCGAGCCCCGGCCAGCCCATCACCAGCTCCGGATTCGAGTGCAGCTGCAAGAAGGGGTCGACGTCCACAGGGGCAGGGAAGTGGCTGTCGCCTTTCTGGTGGCGCAAGTCACCGCAGCTTTGGGGTGTCGTAAAGTTACCCACATCATGACCGAGGCTATCGCTGTCCAGGGACCAAAGGTAATCGAAGCCGTCGAGGGCTTCGTGGTGAAACACTGGGCCTGGCTCTTAGGTTCTGATTCAGAACAGATCTGCTTTCTGAGGATTGTGCTGTCACTGACAAGCCCGGGTGCCCTGAAGTGTACTCACGAGCATCATATGCTTCGGCTGCTCCTAGTCCTAGCTGGAGTCTGGTGCGTTTGAAATGGGTTTCTAGATTCAGTTCTATGAGGGACACATCAAAGTAGTGGCAGCTCGCGGACCAGCAGTCTTGGCAGTACGGGCCGAAACCCCACTTCCCAACAGCAAGGCCTGAACGGAATCTGGACTGAGCCATGTATCCTGGACTCGGCTCGGCTGCTGTGCGGACAAGAATCTTTGAGGCCCTCCCTGTGCCCTGGCTCCTGCTCCGAAGTTGCTGTGGAGCGCGTGCTGCGCCTCGCTGGGGACCCAGTTCCCCACCGAGAAGAACCTGAAGAACGAAAGGCAAAGGAGCGGGCTTAGGATGGTTTTGAGTTTGATCAACAGAAAGGTTTGGAGCACGCGCTGGGCACCCAGCCAGATACGCTGTCCGGGCGTCTTCGCCACGATGCTCTCGCGGGTCTTGGGGCTCAAACCATCATGGAAAATGAGGACTGGGTAGTCGAAGCGCTCGTTGAAATGCATCCAGAGGCCTCGATAAAGAGAGGCTTGGAGGAGGCCCTGAAGGACGAACGGCATTCTGGGTGCCAGACTTTGGATACTGAAAAGCAACTCCTTCAAGTGCTCGGCGTCCTTGCGACCCCTGTGATAGTTCATCCCGTTGTCAAGTGTGCTACAGGCGAACACGGCTTTGGTGGTCCTCGTTCACCACGTAGTGCACGGCGGCCTGCCCAGGAGCCGAATAATGTAGAACGTCGGAACACCCTGGGTTCTGCACCCGGCTGCGATATGGAGCAGAAAACTTACCTAATTTCATTCGACTGCCGAAGCCCTCGAAAGAGCCCTTGGAGCATCTGCAATGCAGTTTCTGGCTTCGTGCGGGTGTTCTGACAGCTTCTCTCCAGCCGAGACACACGATATGGTCGCGCTTCGTCCTGTCCCATGCGTAGAAAGCACACCCTTGTGGGCATGGGCTCGGACGTGTCAACCCATAAAAACAAACATGACAGTTTGGCGAACACAGTTTCGACAAACAGCCACGTCAAGCTTTGAGCAGCAGGAGCAGCATGAAGCAAGGGTTCGATACTTATCAACATACAAGGAGCCCTCAACGATTACCAACCACCGGCGTCCTGCGTGCTTGGATCCGCGTCCTGCAGCGATTTCAAAACTTGAGGATCTTAAAAACAAGCAGGCAAAAAGGCATCCGGGGAGGTTCAAGCTGCTGCTGCTCCTCCTCTTCTAATTACAACGACAATCCTGGCCTGGCACCAGGGACCGCGGTAGGGAACTGGGCAATCGGTGCCGTGGCTGCCGCCGGCCTTCGGTCGGTGGCTCTCTACGTCTTTAAAGCTGCGAAGGGCTTCTTCCACCCGTCGAAGAGCCCGCGGCCTCGATTCCGCACGCGATGCTCGAGTCCGATCGCTTTTAGGGAGCGTTATCGAGCTGTTTCTCCAAGTCCCCACGCTCGCTCGGGGTCGGGTTGTGGGGGTCTCCAGGCCTTCTCTGCCCTCGCCCAGAAACGCCGGAGCGTGGGCCTTGGCTGCACGGCGGGCAGGCACACAACCTATCTCCTACGACAGGAAACATCAGGAAACCCAATCACGAACTTGGGAGTTCAGCTGGGCCCCACCGGCCATCCCAGAACTCGATCCTCACGGCATCAAACACAGCCAAAGAGGCAGAGCCTCCTTCGCGGCCTCGGCCTCGGCGCAGCCTTGGGCACCCGAGGCCTCGCTGGCCTTCCGGTACTCAGAAGGATCAGGGGTTCTGGCTATCATCGGGGTCCCTCTGCCGAATGCCCTTGCTGGTTGTGAGACCAGAATAATTCCGCGAACCTTAAGCATAACCCTAACTCGGCTCTCGGAGTCTTGAGGCCTCCAAGCCCATGAGGTACCGAGAAAGCGGCGAGCAAAACCAGCCCAGCCGCCACTCCTCGAACTCCTCGTCGGGCTCGGGGCAGAGGCTGTAAACTAGGATTCTAGGCATGGGCTGAAAGCTTATAGAGGTTCTGCGTAGAAGTGGCCTTCATCTCGTCAGGTGCCATCTCTGCGAAGGCACTGTGCACGTACACTGCGTAGAGGTGCTCGACCTCCCCGCTGCACCCAGTAGCGAGCAACCGTAAAAAGAAGAGGCCTTGCCTGGAGCAGGGAGTAGGACAGCGGCCGCAGCACCTCTGTGGTGCTGGCCAGGGAGCACTGAGCGGCCACGGCGCCCCGCGCCAGCTGCTCTGGCGACTTCCGCCAGTAGCTAGCAAAGGCGGCCGTGAAATTGGGCTCCGCCTTTCCACAAAACTCTCTTAAGAGATAAACCTTTTCCTTGCGTGCTCCGTGCTGCTGAGGCATGGGCCAACGCCGGTGGCGGCAGCATGGGGTTGATGGCCACATAAACGAGTTTGCTGATCTGAGGGATGCTCCCCAGCTGGAATCCGATGAGGAGCGTGCAGCTTCACTGAGGGCAAGGCTGTCATGCTCTCCGCGCGCAGCATTTCGACCTCGTGCTTGCGAGGGATACCCGGCGATCCATCAGAGACCGGGTGTCGGCTTGCCGCGCGCCTGGGCCCCGGGCCACATCCCGACAGTTGCCGACCAGCGGAGAAACTGAAACAGGCACAGATCCCCCAAAAACGTCTCCACAGCATTCGCCCACTCCCGTTCGGGCCTACCAGCACGTCCATGGGTTCTGGCGGCGCCACCACGCCGTCTCCTGTGGCAGGCTGAGACGTCGCCTTCAAGAAAAGAACTCAACCACGTCAGTTGCAGCCGAGGCGTCGGCGCAGGGACTGGATCTCGAAAGGGGTCGGGTGCACGCGCTGCCCCTTCCACCTCCGCGGCTCGTACCTGCACACAAAAAGGCTGCGACCAGAGGCGCGCCCGATGTGCCCGCGGGCCGCGTCGGGCCGCGTCCGGCCTGGCCACGGTCTTGTCCGCCCTCGCCGAGTCCATGTAGACGTAGCCGGCCCAGCCCTGCTCCTCAGACCAGCCGTGTCTCAGCCTCCCCACTCTACGTCATCCTTGAAACCTACACATCTATAGTCCACCAACGGTCACTAACCGCTAACCGAGCGCTCCTGGAGACACGCCGTCGGGTCGTAGAGCACCTCGCGTATCTAGCGCGCGTACTCCCCACACTTCCCTACTCCGTTCCAGCCCTTCTTCCGCTTCCCGGCTTTCCACACAAACCCAGGCCTCCGTCTGCGTGTGGCAGCGGGGCTCCGGTAAGTCCAGGGAGCGCACGGCCCTCGCAACGAAGCCGCAGAGCTACCCGACACACCGTTCGTAGCTGGGCGCACCAGAAGGTGTAGCTCAAGGAGGACCCCAGGCGCCCACCAGAACCAAGGGCCTGGGCTTGGCTTGAGCCACATGTCCAAGCTGGCGAAGCTGTGAAAGCTCTGATCAGATCTATCCAGCTCCCGAGACCCGGAAACCTTCCTCCTTCTGAACTCCGACCCTTCCAAGCCTCCAAGAGCGTCGCTGCCCCGTGGCCATGCCAGGCCCAGTAGCCTCGAGGCTGACATGCGGAGAAAAGATGGGACAAGCCGGAGCTCACCAGCTGTCCTACTGCCAATGAAGTTCAAAGTCGCCCGGCAGATCGACCCTCCCTCCCTCGACTGCTCCACCAGGCGGCCGGTGGAATCGGCCCACTTCCGACGCTCCGGCATCCAGCTCGCGTGACTCGAGGCCCTCGCGCGAAGCCGCGATCAGCAGCGATGGGAAATGACAACAAAGGCATCACCACCACGACCACATTCGCTACCAGGAGCACTCTTGTACATGAGCACCCACCACTACCATAAAAGCCATGACGACCCGGAGGCTACCACCCAAATGCTGAGCTGATGCGATCATTTGATACTTTTGCAGTTTAGACATCAAGTTCAGGCAGCCGGCGCACACAGGGTGGTACTGCACAAGCGCTGCGTTTTCGGATGTGGAGCTATCAAGAACCACACCCTAGAAGAGGTGCCTTATAGATACACGCCACTGCAAAGTACTGCTGGTTGTTCCTACGCTTGGCACTGCCGGAAGGCTAGAGTTGGAGCGTGACTTGGAAACGGCAGAAGCTGCAAGGATCTTCCGACGTCGAGCTTGACTCCCATCTTCCGATGAACTGGCATGCGCTGGACTTCTCTCTCAGTCCATCTCATCTTCAACTTTTCGTTACGGCCCTTTGGCTCAAGCCCTAAACTCTCTCCATCCTTAGACCTGAGCGCCCTAAGCCCTAAGCCTCCGCGGCCCTTTTCTGTTGGCCTGGAGGTTTGGAGGCGGCTGCTGTTTTCAGCGGTGCAGAGCCGGGAGCTCCGCGAGAAGAGCAGCTCGGCGCGGTCCGGCCGGGAGTGGCCGATGGAATTCATGAAGACCGGCCTTAGAGTGAAAGATGGAAGCTTCAAGAGGAAGGACCTGGAGGTTAGAGAGCTACTGGTAGAGCTGCTAAACGTCCAGGCAGGATGTGGGGCTTTGGGTCCTCGGCCTGGGAGCTGGTGATGGGACAGGCCTGCTGGGCCTGACTTCTTCGACAGCCTCAGTCGAATACGCAAAGGGGCATCTCATCGAACCACTGCGGCACGCGCTCCAGAAAGGCCAGGTGAGTCGGCACGTCGAAGGTCTGCTCCAGGCGCATCAGTTTCCGATACCGCAGAAACCTCCAGGCACGGAGCAAAAACAAAATGCTGAAAACGCCAACAACATGAACGCACGACTTTGCATTCCGGTACAGTATCCCCGTCCCGGGAGCATGCTGGAGGAGAGCTCGAGCGCCGAGGAGACGTTCTGCTGCACAAAGGTCCTCGTCTGGTCTGCCGAAACGGGTGAGACCTCTTGAAGCTGCTAAAAAGACAATGTGAGTTAAGGCCTTGGGAAAGATGGGTCACGGGCCCAGTCAAAACAACCGCATCGCCAAGCAGAAAATCGTCCCCCTTTGTCTTGCAACTGAGCATCAGCGATGCCACGAGCGCCGTGCACCAGGTCACCTCCGGACGGGATGACTTGAGATGCTTCGCAGTCTGAGTTTCCTCTTGGCCCGCCTTTGTGTCCCACGACATCTCCGTCCTTCGAGCCAGAGAGAAGGTGTCCTGTCTGCTACAGGGCAGAGAAAATTGTCACGCCATGCAGAAGCGACCCCTCCTAGTAAATTGGTATACTTGAGACAGAAACACTTGGAATCCAGTCTTGCGAGCCCTGACCCTAAACCGTAAACCCCCCCATACCCTAAACCCGGCATTCCATCGTGGCGCTTGTGGATCCCGGAAGCTTTGGAGTTCGCTTCGACGCTTCGCCAGCCTCCAGGAGCGCCAAGCGCCGGCCCTCGGGAACCTGCGGACAAGCGGCGACTCTCGGCTCCTGACATTAGGGTTGGGGCCTGTCGTAGGGTTTACAGGGTTCGGGGTTTTGGGCACTGGTGTCAAGTGCTGGGGATGAGGAGGGCATAAGATGTGGGAGTATTAACGCCCTGAGCTTCCTTTCTGATGTGACTCAACCTGCCACGACCTGTGGTCAACGACAACCCTGTCCGCCTCCGGCCTCCTTGAGGAAGTCTCGCAAGCCCCAGGCGTGGCTGTCATAGGGTTCCTAGCTGTGGCTTCAAAGACGTCGCCGTGGTTTGGGTTTGGGACATCAGGGCTTTAGAATTGCTTTTTTGTTGATCGATTCTTTTCCAGCCCCGTATCAAGCATCCAGAGTACCTTTGCAGGCACAGCCACATGTCGTCATGTTGGGGAGGCCAGAACACTCTCGATGAACACGATCCACCACACAACATCACCCAAGCTATAACACTGGATCAGCATTCCTCGTGCGCAGCACTGTGCACTTCCGAAAGCGGCTTCATGCATACAGAGGCAAACACACACAAGATGGAGGTTGCTGTCACAACATCAGCCTTAGTATGCCCCTGCGAGCCCCTAGCATGATTACCCGGTTCAGGGCTTTGGGGATTTATTGGCCTTTGGGTGTACTATTTAGGGCTTTGAAGTCTTCAGGGTCTAGGGTTCTGTTTCGGAGACCGCTCTCCTCCTCTCCGAATCGGCGCACACGGTCGTAGATGTCTAGGAACAGCCACAGCCCATCTGCCAGACGGTCGAAGCGCTGTGTGAGCGGGTTCTCGTCAATCGACATCTCCTCACCAATCTCGCTGGAGCTACAGAAACAACTTCATGAAAATGATTGGTAATTTGCGAGCTTGCCCTGGCCCTAGCTAGCCCCAGGCTTGAAGAAGCACCCTCTGTCGTCAGTCCTCGAAGCTGGTGGCAGCGGGAGCTGCCAGCGTTGGCGACTCAGCTCCGTCGGAGCTTCGGGCGCTCCGCTCCGCCAGCTCCGTCCGCCCCTGACTGCTCTCTTTGGAACAGCCATCCGCTGAACGGCTCTGCAGCAGCTCTGCGGCCACCTGCGCTCTCCAGATCCGTTGCCGTTTGCTCCCTTCCCTCCCTCTCCCTCAGATGCACCTGCCAGCGCAACGTGCTACAAACAGAGTCACCCGCTGCTTGCACATGTTTCGGCCAACAACCTGCTGTGCTTCCGATATCTTGATACAATGCACGCTCGTACTACCAGCTGGTTCCTCAACAGCATCGTCATCATCGTCATCATCTTAGTAATGCATGGGTGGGCAGGAGGTAGCACTCCAAGACATGCCCGCCTAGGCACGAGAAGCACAACGGAAAGGCCTTGTAGCTGGTCTCAACCAGCCGGACTGCTGCATCCACAAAGTCCCAGACGCAGAACAGCAGCACCTGCTACACAACATCACCACCACACATCTTCTCCAACCCTGCAGCACTGCCGGACACTCGCCCTAGAACTTTAGAAAAAAACTGCACAGTATTGCACCCACGCCTTCTCTGTGATCGCCGTGACCAGGGACGAATCTAGCAGCTCCAGAAAGCCTTGCTGGCTTTTGTTGTACTCTTTCTCTGCCCGCTCAAGACTCTCTCTTTTCTTTCCACGTTTTGTTTTCTCTGACTCTCCCTCTCTCTGCCGCACTCACTTACCGGACCAGTTCACGACAACGACTACTGCGGCATAGCAACACATGGCGCCAAGTTTGCAAAATGTACCAAACCAAAGGACATCAAAGCGGACGGGAATTCAGCAAAAACTTCCTGCCGAGGATCTCTGGATGAGTCTGGCGCTAAGCTCGCCCAGCGACATGGCCAGGGCCGTCATGGTCAAGTCGGCCATGGCTGGGTGAGCAAGCGAAGATACTGGCGAATCAGGCCTCGCTGCGATGGGCATTCGCCGAAACGATGTCACGATGTCGTGTTGTTGTGCCACCACTCTGTGCAACGGCCACAGTCACCTGTTCTGCACCTGGAAACCGCGGATTCACAATGCGATTTGCGCGGGCATTTCTTAATGGCAAGCTCGAGGATTCAAGGTGGTAGAAAATCTGTGAATCCTACTAAAAGACACTTCATGCGTACCCTTGCTAGGTCCCTTCCCTTTTTTGCCTACAAGCATCATAGGATGCATTTATCACTCTCGTCATCATGATGAACCACTTTTGCTCAGGGCTGGGATGGATACTTGGAAAGTTCAGAGTGCTCAAGACTTCCAAGCTAGTGATCGACCCAGGCTTCTTTTTTTTTTTTTTTTTTTTCCGGCTGGCCTTCTTAAATGCGAACTAAGTGTCTTTCAGAGCTTTGGAGCTTTGGAAAACAAAGTTGAAGATGAATGCAGATCAGCTGGCCTGCCCTATAGGGCCTTCAAAATCCCCGCTGAGCAAGACACGCCCTATTTTGCGTCAAAGGAAGCTACGGATGAAAAAGAGAGGGACCTTATTGTTTGTATCATCTCTGCTGATATTTACCCTGCTGATCTCACTATTGATGACAACATGGAGAGGCATTTCTGGTCAACAACGACTATACGCGTGCCTTCGACCCTACAGGGTGTAGGCCTGTTGCTACTGAAGTCGTCTCTGATGGTGAGGATGATTGCCTTCTTGAAGCATGCAATCAGCCAGCGATTTGGTGATTGCTGAGTGCATTAATGAAACCAGAGAAGTCACTTCCGGTGTGAGTTCTTCAAGCCTCCATGTTGGTATGAATGATCATAGATAACTCAAAACGGAGTGTAACGCGGCTTCGGGGCAGGCTCTGTTGGAGCTGGAAGGGATTGTGCCCTTCGTTGCTTTTGCAGCTCACTCAACAAGCTGCCCATGGCCTCAAGACGATGGAAGGCAGCAGCTGCCCACCCAAGCACCCTAGTCTTGCCAACACATGCGCACTCGAAGCCTGACAGCTGGGTTGCTTGAGGTCTGGGATTTGCACAGAGCGTTAGACTCCGCTGGACCGCAAGCATGTCGGACGCTGTCTTGCCAGGTTGGTCGTGGTCGTCGTGGTGGTCGTAGTTATGGACTGGTCTTGGCCTTGGTCCTCGTTGTCGTCGTGGTGGTCATGGTCGTCTTGGCTGCGTCGTCTTGGTCCCCTTGATCGTCACAAGGAAGGTGTTGCTTTGTTGCTGGTTTCTTCGTTCCTATAGTGTTGATTGCCACAAGACTGTGTTGCACAGAAGGTCAAGCAATATTACGAGCATGGATTGATTTTTGAACGGGAATACGCCCGAATCCGGAAACATGATCATGTTTCAATAGTCATTTGCTCAAGAAAAGCCTGCTGTGAAATGGTGGTTTTTGTCCGAGAACGACTTTGTCGAGTTTGTACACCAATTGCTTTGGCTGTTGGAAGCTCATGCCCCCAAGTTTGAATGCTGGAGCATCCGTTTGTACAGAACCGGCGTCCTCCTTTGAACTAAGTCTATTCAAAAAGACTGATCTTCAAATCCAAAGGAGAAGTTGTAACCTACCAAAAGGTTGCTCAAAAACATACAGTTGTTGCACATCGCTGTAGGAAGAAATTGTTTTCAAAAAAGAAAGGTCTTTCGAAATCATTACCAAAGTTGACAACCGAGTTCGGACCAAAAGAAAGTGCACATCAAGGCTTGTCCCGTCCATCAACATGGTCAATATTGTTCTTGTTGGCGCAATTGGGCTGGCATGCTTGCAGCTCCCAACTCAAATCGTTTAGGCTTTTGGAACTCTGGGAGGGGTGGTCTGCAGAATTGAAAAATACAGGGGCCTATCGTTCATGCTGTTGATCTGCCATGCCGGTTCATGTAACGCTGGGGGTTGTGTGCATATATAACCCTATTGGACTAGGGGACTATCAGCATGCATCTTCGAATCATCTGTTGAATGTACTAACAGTATGGTGCTGCGAAATGCTGCAAACATACCTGCAATTTCAGTCGGATGCTCTGGAGCCTTGGGGCAGCTGAAGGTCCGAAAGGGATGTGCCTGGGTTGGCTTACGCAGCTGGCAGCCCCCCCCCATCTTGTAATGTATCATTTTCGGATCTTGTAATGTATCATGTTCTGCCTTCCCCTGCATGTGTATACATGTGTAGGGAGGAACCGAAGTGTGTATGTGTGTGTGTGTGTGTGTATGTGTGTGTGTGTGCGGCGCATGGTCTTTCATCGTTCGGGGTCTACTCTGGCATAGATTATGGCGAGAAGACTCTCATCTTAGACCCGCGCGGTCGGCAAGTCTGCCAGGTCATCCTGCACAGGCAAGATCTAGTCAACTTGCGTTCTCAAGCGTGTTCATGTACTCTACAGTGCCGTTGCGGAACCTGAGTTTGTTCGACGTTCATAGCTTAAGCTACGCAATATT